GCACTATGTGTAGCCGAGAGATTTTCACGAAAAAATGCTGGCAACAGGAGATTTTCGACTCAGACCTTAAAGGGGCGTGGCATTATAACCACGTGACATTTACTCCGATCGCCAAAAATTTTATGTTATATTGTAGATTGATCTATATGTTATCCATTCTATGTGTTAGACTTACGATAAAAGTAAAGGTGGGGATACCAGAGAGCTTCAAAGTAGGATGGTACCCCCTAAAAAAAACTGGGTCGAGTCACCTTAAAGGAGTAATTAAACTTACAGCACTTCAAACTTCGACTCGAAGACGCCTTCCTTGGTGTTCTCAAGTTGTAAAAGTGAAAGTTCAACTTTAAAAAGCTCTTTAAAATTTTCACAGAAAAAAATTAAAAGTCATATTTGATATGTTTCACGTAAACTATTTACCTCCAACATATCTCTTTCCCGGGCTTAAAGAGTGAGCGACCACCTTAAGAAACGCAAAAATGCTGTCCTTCTTCGAAACATCAACCTTCAAAATAGTCTCCGAAGCTTATTACAAACATTGCCCCTTCAAGCAAACCTGATAAGTCCGATCCTTTCGCTAACTGCTCTGAGACGTGGTTGAAGGATGACAGGTTCTGTTTATCATGGTTGTCAAATTCTTAGAGCGAGTACAGCGGCTTCACAGCCTCGGCAATGACGTGTTAGATTCTGATTTGTCGTCTGCCATTTTGAAAATCGAATGGCGGGAATACAAGGAACAGGGGCGAGAGCTCTAGTGCTCATGTCTGGAGGTTTTTGCGCTCTGTCGTGAATTGATCACAACATTGGTGTGCAATATCAGTTTTCCTGTGCTCCCAAACTAGCTAGAAAGTGAGACTGAACATTGGTTTTCCCGTGGTGCGGGCGGGCGGTGTACAGTCACGTGATTACCAAATTTTCTGGGATGGGTAGATTTACTTAGTTATGGGGCCCCGCTCGCGCGCGTTGAGCTCCGTTATGATAATTATAAATTACTTTTATAATTATTATTATCCTTATTATTATCAAAATTATTTTATTATTATTATTATTAATATTATTATTATACACACTTCGTTTCTAAAGTAAAACAGCTGAGGATGCAGTGCCACAAATGGCAGTCTCTGTATTTCATTTCTTTTCTTGGAAAGCTGTTGTTTTTCATCATTCTTGGGTAGTAACAAGAGACGGTCGAACAATTCAGGGTACACTTATTTGCAAACTTTTCCATATCTACGGGGTTGTATAGCCGCTGCCCTTCATCCTTGTAATGCTTGGTGAGACACTTGTGGAAGGTTTTGAACTGCTCATCAAAAGTTGGCTCTGAAAATTAATAAAAAATTAGTTCTAATAAAGGTTGAAACTTGTCGTCTTTGTTTTGAATGTGTGGAAATCAAGAGTACGTGAATACAATACCTTTTAGCTTGCTGCACCTTTCTTTTAATGCTGCATTTTCGCGCTATAATTATATTGATTTGATTAGTTAGTGATTATAGTCATTAGTTTTGCGAAGGGGCGGTCTGAGAGGTACCATCCCTCCAAGTTATTTTTTTTCCTGCGTTAGTACAAGGGACTGAAGTAGTTCGTTTTGTCTACAAATGTATAGGGCAAAGTGTAATACAAAATATGAATATTTTTTAAAACAAAACTAAGCATGTATGATCTGTTTCTGTACATTTTGACTGCTGTTTGAGTGCAAAAGAAACATACCTTTCTCGTAGTAGGGGGTTTCTAGAGTGCGTGGTTTGTAAATAAGGGAACTTCGTCCACGAGACTTTGGTGGCCTGGGCAAAGAAATGAAACTCCTTGGTAGTTTTCAAGGTTTAATGCTACGGTGACAATCCTCTGCGGACAGGGCGGTAAATTGTTCGTTTGTTTGCAGGCATTTTCACTCGGAAAACAACACCTCCTTGGACTTTCCTTTTGCAATTTTTTTGTATGACCCAAACATAGCTAAACCAGCCTAGAAGAGCCATGTAAAATAGCCTCTTTTCCAGAATAATAATTAGTGGAAACCCAACACTTTTCTGAGACGCTTCTTAATCTGGAGCCACGTTCACAAGCATTTTCCATGATTTAATTAACTTTGGACATTCTTTCCGCCGGAAACGCACGGAAAAAGACCGGAACTTGCCAGTGAAGAGGTCGGTAACTATTTTTGGACATTTTTGGAGGCTTTTGGAGCGAGAAAAAACGAGTGGCGTCTCCAGTTTCATTTACAAATTCCAGCGCAAAGAATGAGGCCGGGAAAGCGGGCGCCAAACAGGTTAGTAAGTGGACACAAGCGGTATGGGAAGGGAAACTTTAATATTTGGTGTTTACAAATCTTTTCCTTTTTTGTACTTGTCTAAGGAAATATATTTTTGCGCTGCTATCTGCCTTCTCGGATCGATCTGTTTAGGGGTAAGATTGGCTGTACATTAGTGGAAGCTTCACACCGGCGATTACGTTCGAGCGTTGTCATCGCGAGAGGGATACAAAAACAAAAAACAGCAAGCCTCAGAAAAACTTATCGTTCGATTTTTTTTTTTCGTATTTATTTGTTTCTTGGTTTTTACCTTTTGGTTAGTCGAATTTTGAACCTTAAATACTCTACCCGTTTCTTACTGGTGCAAATTTTTTAAGAGGTATTTTTCGCATAATGTCTCTATGAACTACACACAGTCCCAAGCGCCCTAAAGTTTATTCTTAATCTGATTTCGCTACAACTTTTGACATCACCTGTCAATGAGTCCTAGTTTGGGGATATCAGATCATAATCACCGAACTAGTCATGGTTAACTATGTATTTGGCTTCAAACTTTGCTTCTTTTGTGGACTACATGATTCGTTGCAAGATGGCCAGCGGAGAGCACAAAATGCCGCGAAAAGGGCAACCAATCAGCAGTTTTTCGGCCCTGCCGTAACTACAACCAAATATTAGTAGTTGACGGTAGTTATTAGTTGTCGGTAGTTATAAGTAGTTGTCCCTAGTTTTTAGTTGTCGGTAGTCACTAGTAGTCAATGGTAGTTATTAGTAGTTGATAGTAATTGGTGGTAGTTATTAGTAGTTGTTGGTAATTACTAGTAGTGGTTCCGTAGTTACCAGTACTTGTCGGTAGTTACTAGTAGTTATCGTTAATTACTAGTAGTTGTCGGTAGTTACTAGTAGTTATCGCTAATTACTGGTAGTTGACGGTAGTAGTTACAAGTAGTTGGTGGTAGTTATTAGGGACTTTAAGAACCCGGGACACGGTGAGTCGGAGACGCGACCGGAAGTGACTTTTCCAATTTCGGATGAAGAGCGCATGCGCGTGGCGTTTTCTCCCGCGAGATCGCGGCCTGGAGAGATTTGGCGTCGTCTGGAAAGCGTGAGTATTTAGCCTTGTTACTTAAAGCAAATCACCATAATTACCAGTCTATCACAACTATTCTGTCAATTGGAGTTTAAAATTTATTGCCTCTTCAAAGGCTAGGCATCATTTTTGAAACGAAAAGGACCAAAGCTGAATAGTTTAAAACGTTTTGTTCCCTCCAGGTGAGCAAGCACATGGTGAAGTCAATGGCGTTGAGCAGATCTTCAAGGTAAGTCATATAATTATCCTTGAAATGTTTCCCAAAATCTCATTTTCCTTCACATTTGAGGGAAATTATCACTACATTCATGCGGCTATTCTCGTGCATGATACTATTTAGTTTGTCAGGCGTCTTATCATTCTACTTCGTCTTCGTTCTGTTTTAGATTAATCCAACGAGCTCCGATGTGAAATATCAGAATGAAACTTTATCGGTTGTTCCATCAACGGATGATCGATTTTAGCTTCATAAATAATTTAGCTAAGACTATTCTGTTTATTCTTTTTACCAGATCCAGGCTTGATAATTCATGATGATCTGAAATTGCATTTCCTGATAGTGAGTGTGATTAAAACTCAACTAAAGAAAGCTTATTAAAGCTAACTTTCAAAAATCGCGCACTATAAGAGGAAACATAAGTTTAATTAGTTCATTTCCTTGACTACTGTCATAAAGCGTAGCATTTCAAAAGCTAAGACTTTGACATTTCTGCTATTGTGTTGTTTCCATTTTTTTATTTCTTTGAAATTGTTACTAATGAGCCATGTTTTAGATAATACTCTGAAGTGAAAACAAACCAAGAAAAATTAGAACTAAAAAGAGATTGTATTTGAAGTTAGATGATGTTGCCTATCTCATATGAAGTTTTGATAATGTTTTAAATTATCAACGTTAGGCTATGAATGCATTATTCCGCTGCTGTTATTCCTGAAAGTCTAAGTTATGGGTGAAGTCTCTCTTCCTCAGCAAGGCCGCTTTTAAAAATGTGTGAGCTTTAAACGTCATTAAAGAAAAATCTCACTTTTTTGAACAAGCATAAAATTAGCTGTGAGATTAACAACAGCATTTAGTTTCAATTCAAAAGAAAGGTTTTTTTTGGAGTGAATTTTATTAATATTCTCTTCGTTTTTGTTTTCACATAGCAATGTTATGTATTGGACTGAACAGCACAATATTATACTGTGCAGAGAAGTAGTGTTTGAAAATCCCTACTTATACAAAAAGGGGTCCCCCCAGCGCAGTGAAACTTGGAAGAAAATTGTAGATGTTCTAAACAAATGTGCTTCTCCGCAATTTAATGTTGACCACAGAGCCATCCGGGGCCACATCAATTTCTTGGTAAACAAGTACAAGAAAAAAAAAGAGCTGAAGAAAGAGCATCAGGAATATCCCCAGATGAGCTAATACAGCAAATTATTGCACTTGAAGAGAGTACTCTTACAGATACATGTAGTAAGGATAAAGCTGACAAAGCTAAAGCAGATGTAAGAATAAAAGCTATTGAAAGGCTTTCCCAAACCATAAAAAGGGCGTCAGAGGAAGCCGAAGAGGGTGAGGACAAACCAAAACGAACAAGAAGAAAAACTGGAGATGCCATGGAGTTTCTAAAGGAAAGAGCACAGCAGAGTGCAGAAATTAGAGAAAAGGAACTTGAGCTGGAAAAGGGAAGACAGAGACAACAACTTAAAGTGCAACAACAACAGGCTGATATTCTGAAGGTAATGCACCAGCAACAACTGCAAAATCAACAGCAACAGCAGCAGTTTCTGCAACAACAGCAACAGTTCCAGCAGTAACAAATGCTCATGATGCAGCAGGTCATGGGCGTCATGAGTAAAATGCTTAACAAGTAGACGTTAAATTTCTATTTCTAGATGTTTATATGTTTAAGATTTACATTTTTACAAAATGTTGAACTCAGAGTATTATTCGCCACCCCTTTGTTTAGATCTGCTTGTTGTTACATTCCCTGCAAATAACACACAGCAACTGTTCAATCAGGATTTTATGCAAGATTTTATGTAAACTTAGGCACTGACAGGTGTTTTTTGTTTACAGTATTTTAGCTACAGTAATCGACTAGTGATGGTGGGTCAAGGCCAAAGTAGTCAGCAGTCGTATTGCGGTAGAAACATGTTAAAGCATTTGCTACGTGGCTAAGGCCAATTTTGAGATTTTTTTTGTAATCGAGAAACTTGAAAAAATTTATAAGGTCTCCAAACAACCATTCCACACTTGTACGTACAGAACTCATAGATGCATTAAACTCTTCCATTTGTCTTGTTAACACCCCATTTCTGAAGGGGCACTGCAGATGGGTACGTAGAGGATATGCCGGATCCCCGTAGATACCCTGTCCAGCAGGGGAAAAGGCGAACTGTGCCAGATCAACATAGAGGCCAGATGTGCCCAGCATTCTCGCATCATGCATTCGTCCTTCTGAACAAGAGCCAAAAAAATTAATTTTTGAACCACAATCAGTCACACATTGGCTGGCTGACAAACTGTTACCTATATAGACCATTGATTAGCTTAGTAATATAGTAGGCCAAAAACAACATAGGATTGGCTGGCTATTATTCTTACAGTCCAGGTACTTATGGGCTATAAGTCAGAATTTATAATTTATTTTTCTGTGGTGACAGGACAACCATTTCCTCTAATAACAATTGGGAGTGGGAGCTACTGAAAATACCTCTGATGTCAGAGACCAGGAGGGAGTCATCAAGAAACGTCAGATTAACATTATGAGAAAAGAAATCAATCTAACTTTTAAGTTCACATAAGTAATAAAAAATTTTTCTCCAAGTAAAAACAGCTACGGTACTATCCCACTATAAAAAATTAATGAATATACCCTTACTAGTCAGGTCGCTTAGCGTCAGTATCGTTACTGGCCGGATACAAGCACCAATTTTTGTATGCACTTTTTCGATGTAAGAATTAACTTTAGTCGTGGATCCATCGAAAATATTTCCTCTACCTCATCAAAAAGAGCGTGGAAAAATTAGGTTAATTTGCATAAAATTCAAAATGGCGGCGCTAAGTACCAAAATTTTAAACAACTCCAAATTCGTCGCACTTGTAATGTAACTATAACCCGTGTTTGTTAAAGTAATGAAAAATGATGATAGGACTGAGTGCTGCAGCAGTCCAATTCGCTCTTCAGTCATTCGAGTTTGAAACATGATTACGATTACAGACCGGCATGGACAACACGAAGATCTTAGTCCACCAATCAATCAAAACCATAACAAAATGTTTCATAACTTTAACCTTTCCAAACATTAGAATATAACTTTTTCGAGAGTTCTTTTGCTAGACGTTTAAAAAAAAATCTACTCAAGATAGAGCGCGTGGGCGAGATGGCGCGCACTGTTTGATTTACTAACGCATGACGCTTTCTGACCTATTAAACTGTTCATTAAGCTGAAATCAGCACCTCCGTAGGCCAATCAAACTAGAGAATTTTGTTGGGTAGGCATGATTTAAATAATAAAAATGTTATTAAATTAATGACAAAAAACGAATTGATTTTTTGTTCAATAAATCTTAATTACCCTTTTTTTTTACTCTAAGTTAACACGCTCCCGAAATTAAATGATCGTCATAGGTTGTTTTAATAACGCATTCCAGTTAAACAGAATATTTTCCTGGCAATTGCGGGGAGTATCCAGGAACTTTCGAAAACTAGTTACTTGGGCAACTGAAGAAGAACGTTCTTAGTGCCTCCTTTTTCCTCTTAGATCAGTCACTAAAACTACTCCTGATTTGAAAAATACGACTGACAGTTACTGTAAATCGGTATGTACTTTAAACATCGAAAGTTTCATCTCCTTTCATCTCAGTTGTTTGCGAGCGCTGCAATACGAATTGCAATTACAATTGCAAAGCGGGGAACACTTCAAGTTCCCTTTGCCACATTTGCAGTTGGAACAGTCTCCCTTGCATGTACACTTGATTAAATCTTGACAGGCTTTAGAAAGCTCTGGAACAGTTAGCCAAGGTGGGCTCCACACATTGTCTACTTGTCCCCAGCCATAGTCGCTTGGGGCAGGAATCATCTGCTGTACTTGGGTACTTGTAACCCAGCTAGAAGCTCGGTAGCCCTCTTGGTGTGTTGTAGGAGGGCATTGTGCGTCGGTGGCATCCTTTCCATCGTGACGTTCCTTAGACAGAACAGTTCCCTCCTTGTCTGGTTGATTGAAAGTGAAGTGTTCGTTTTGTCGTAGACGAGGACGATCAGCCGCTCAATCTTACGAAAGTTCTCACAGTTGGAATCAAGGGGCTCCAAAGGATGTGAGGCTAAGTAGACAAAAGTGTCTGTAACCTCCTCAAACGCCATCCAAGCTTGCCAGAACGACTTCTTCTCTTTTCCCCAAAAAGCAGAGGTTGTGTCGGATCCAGAAATCAAGTGAAGCATTGGTATTGCTTGTCGCCTTTTTGTGCCAAGGCTGGTGGACAGAGCATTGATGCTGTAATGTCTGTAGTTCTTTCCCACTCCAAAGGCGACCCAAATATCAGCCTTGGGCTGTGACAGTAACAGCTTGAGAAAGACACCGATAAGGACGCCAACAACATCAGTGTCCACAGTGCGAACTTGCACAGTCGTCAATCCCTGCTGAAGTGCGTGTAGTACATGAACCACAATTCTTGCGTCGACCTCTTCATGATTGCGGTTTGGCATGGGACTGGATGAGCATACCGTTAGCACTGACTCTTCCGAAGTGATGAAAACGGCCCTTCCCTCGGGGAAGACAAAGTTTGCCACTTTATAGGTTAGAAAGTCAAACAGCTCTTTCTTGTTTGATGAATCATGCAGAAAGTCTGACCAGTTTCGTGGTAACTTGGTTTCTCCTGATACCTTTCTGCGGACCCCCTTTCCTCTCTTCTGACGAGTCGACTCTTTTAAACTTTCCGGTCTGTATGTGTCCCATACAACGTCCAACCTTTCAGTTCCTTGTAGGTGACTCTGAAGATGAGGGATGAAAGCCTTCTCTGCGTATTCTTTGAATGTTTTAATTCCACCTATGGACAAGCAGTGTACGATGACAGCACCATCCAATACTTTACAGCTGAATGTTTCAGGTGGCGTAGATTCATGTAGTGGCTCCAGGCATTTCATCAGTTCAGACTTTGTACCCGGCAAATAAAGTTTGCCGAATTCTGACAGTGAGGGAGGAAAGGATTGGACTTCATGAGAAAAGAATTCTTCCAAATACCCTTTACGGCTCTGCATTGAGATATACAACTGACCAAAAAGAGACACTTTATTTTCAAGAGCTTTAGTCTTCCTTCCTTGCTTCGACTTAATCTTTGGACTGGGTTTCCTGAAGAGTGCTGGCTTGTTTAATTTAATGGGTTCATGAATAGATCGTTTTCGTTCTTCCAGTGCTTCTTTGACAAAGTTACTGCGTTATCCCTTCCCTGTGTCTTCAAGGGTGTACAATGCTGCTATGGCTGATTCTATGACTGTCTAGGGACACAAGATCTGAAAAATCGGCCAAGAAAGGGTTCCCCTTCTTCCTTATGATGCTAGAGAGACTAGTGACCTGCAATCCAGTCTTCAAGCTGTAAAACCCTTCCGTAGGAAATGCAGATTCCCAGCTGTTGCAACTGATTGATAAGATGCTTACTTCAGGTCAGGCCATGTATGTTCAAGCCAATGTAAACAGGGAGTGGTGGCTCGCGCTCTAACGAATATCTTGGTTTTGCCTCTGGATTAGCAGTTGATCGTTTCTTAGCGTTAAAGACTATAGCCTGGCCAATAGTGAAGCATGCTTGGGACTCTTGTTTCTCTTGGTTTTTCAAGTTGGATCCATTGAGAATTAAGGAAATGAGGGTCTTGAGACTTGATGGCAGTGACGTGTCTTGGCATTTTTCCGGAAAAGATCCTTTGAAGAGAATCCCTTCATGATTAAAAATGTCTTTTCTTATTATAGAAGCAGCCCTGGCCAAAATTAGTGCGTCTTCTGAGAAGTCTCTTTTCCTTAAGGCGTCTTGAATCATGTCACGCATCCTTTCTTTGAAAACTAAGAAAGTGTTCCTGCCGTCGAACTGTTCTCGAGCTTCCTTGAAGTATTCCAACAAGCGCTCCTTTAGCCTGGTCTTGTTTACTAATTTCGCATTACCTAGATCCTCCAGGCGACTTTCATATAAAGAGTGCAGCGCCGACAATTTAATCAGGAGTTTTCCAGAATTGACTTCTTTTTTGACATAACTTGCCAGCTCGACAAACACGCGGGAGTTACAAACGTTTTCATCAATATTTTGCTTATCCTTGTTTGATTTTCTAACGTGACTGCGACATCTGTTTTTCAATTCAATCAAGCATTTCAGATGATACTTTGCTCCGATCGCAATAAGATCTCCTCCAATTATTCTCACAAGTAGTCGGGAGTCATTAAGCTCTGTTATTATTGTTCTTATATTTGCGTCTGTCTCAAATGTAGACACCTGGCGGAGATCTCCATCATCTTCTCGAGCTCCCTTCTCTAAAAAAAAAAAACATACTTCACTGTTCAACCTTTGTCGCTTACCGCGAGAGCTTGTTTCTGTCGAATCACTCACTGTTGCGTTTTCTTGTCAGTTTTCCTCTTTCAAGTTTGCAGCTGCTAAATTTCGCATAGCAAGACTTATGCCACGACGCACGATGAAATTCCCAGTTTTCTGCAGTCTCATCACAGCCAAATTTGACTATCACTGGTAAAGAATCAATATCTTGAAACTGCTTTACGTGATTAAGAAAATTCGTATATACGTCTTTTTTATTTCCTTTCTTTACCGGGTTTTCCAAAGGACATTTTAACCCATTCGCCCCGGATCGCCCGTAACCGCCCGTGTACGACAACCCCCGAATTCCCTGAACCGCCCGTAAAAATGGCCGCTGGATTCAGTCCATTGCCCTCTCCTCCCGGGTGTTTTTTTGTCTTTTGTTTTCACAGAGTGATTGATGGATAATAAACCAATCATTTGCCATCTTTTGCGCATTTTTTGACAGATGATGAGAAGCACCACAGGGTAGGGTTTTTCGAAGAGCACGAGTAAAAGAAATTCGCGAGAGTAATGGCCGCCCTTGCCGATTTCGAATCTAGTTCGCATCACGTTTGAGAGAATATAGAGATAATTCGACTCTTGATCACTTCAGGTTGCTGAACAGACCTTGTGAAAAACCTCCTGATTGAGAGTTAAACGATCTTAAGACTGAAAAAGACAATCCTAGCCCTCAAATTGCCAAGCGCTTCGTAGGCAAACAAACCGCATGGACTATCGATGAAAACTTACCTCGTTCATTTCATTAACTTGCATCCAAGTACCGTGTTCCTCGCAGTAAATGTTTTAAATGTAACTGTTTCTTGAACTGCTGGAGGTGATGCTTTTGTAGAGTTAAAAGTTTGAACAAGGAAACGGATTATGTGCGACGATCGATTTGGATTGACAATCCACATGAATAAAATTTACTTCACATCGCACGGAAGCTCACGGAGAATAAACGGTAACCGTCTTTTTATTCAATTATTTACAATTG